AAAACAGCAAGGTAACAAGTGGTAAAAGTGAGCGTAAACGGTATTGCAATGGTAGGAAACAAGGCCTAGGGTTCATACTTTCACTAATGCAAGTTCTCTCAACAATAATAACATAGATAGATCATATAACAAGCCCTCAACATGCAACAAAGAGTCACTCCAAAGCCACTAATAGCGGAGAACAAACATAGAGATTATGGTAGGGTACAAAACCACCTCAAAGTTATTCTTTCGGATCAATCTATGCAAGAGTTCATGCTAGAATAACACCTTAAGACACAAATCAACCAAAACCCTAATGTCACCTAGATACTCCATTGTCACCTCAAGTATCCGTGGGCATGATTATACGATATGCATCACACAATCTCAGATTCATCCAACCAACACAAAGTACTTCAAAGAGTGCCCCAAAGTTTCTACCGGAGATTCAAGGACGTGTGCCAACCCCTATGCATAGGTTCATAGGCGGAACCCGCAAGTTGGTCACCAAAACATACATCAAGAGGCACATGATATCCCATTGTCACCATAGATAAGCACGGCAAGACATACATCAAGTGTTCTCATAAAAGACTCAATCCGATAAGATAACTTCAAAGGGGAAACTCAATTCATCACAAGAGAGTAGAGGGGGAGAAACATCATAAGATCCAACTACAATAGCAAAGCTCAGGATACATCAAGATCGTGCCATAGAGGGAACACGAGAGAGAACACGAGAGAGAGAGAGAGAGAGAGAGAGAGATCAAACACATAGCTACTGGTACATACCCTCAGCCCCGAGGGTGAACTACTCCCTCCTTGTCATGGAGAGCGCCGGGATGATGAAGATGGCCACCGGTGAAGGATCCCCCCCTCCGGCAGGGTGCCGAGAAGGGTTCCCGAGAGGTTTTTGGTGGCTACAGAGGCTTGCGGCGGCGGAACTCCTGATCTATCTTGATATTCGATGGTTTTAGGGTACATAGGCTTATATAGGTGAAAGAAGTCGGTCGGGGGGTGCTCGAGGGGTCCACGAGACAGGGGGCCGCACCCTGTAGGGGGGCGCCCCTATCTCCTGGGCTCCTCGAGGATCTTATGACTTGATCTCCAAGCCTCCAGGATGATAATCTTCCAAAAAATCACGATGCCGAAGGTTTCATTCCGTTTGGACTCCGTTTGATATTCCTTTTCTTCAAAATACTGAAACAGGCAATAAAACAGCAATATGGGCTGGGCCTCCGGTTAATAGGTTAGTCCCAAAAGTAATATAAAAGTGTATAATAAAGCCCATAATCATTCAAAACACATAGTAATATAGCATGAATGCTTCGTAAATTATAGATACATTGGAGACGTATCAGTGCCCTGTTCCGCGAGAAAACCACGCAACGGCTGAGAGATATACTCTCCAGCGGAGTCAGCACGAAAAGTACGAATGGGCGTGGCAAACTGGGTGTGAACCATGGCAGCAAAACGTTTGTATATAGGGAGAACCTCGCTACGAGATTTCATGAAGTAGAGCCAAGTGTAGCGAGAGAAATCATCAATAAACAAAACATAGTAGCGATGACCACCTTTCGAATCAAAGGGAGCAGGACCCCAGACATCAGAATGAACTAAGTCAAAAGGACGCTGAGATACAGACGCACTAGTAGGATAAGGTAACTGAGTCTGTTTGCCAAGTCTGCAACCATTATAATGTAAGGAGACATCTCCAGATACAGACCCTAAGAGGCCCTGACGAACTAAGGAAGACAAGCGAGAGCCACAGATGTGACCAAGTCGATGATGCCACTGCTGGAAGGACGCAAACGAAAAGGCAGAAAGAGCATGAGAGCTGGCAGAAGTGGTGGCAACGGAAGGAACACAAAGCCAGTCAACCTCCCAAAGGCCCTCTGCCTCATGGCGTCGGGTGCCAGCACCAACCAAAGCCTTGGTGCGACAATCCTGAATGGAGCAAGAGTCGGTATCAAGAATGACACGACAACCAGAATCAGTAAGTTGGGCAGCGAAAAAAAGATTCATGGTAAGGCGAGGAACATGTGAAACGCTCGGAACAGAAAAAGATGGAGTGGAAAGAATACCACGACTAGCAATAGGAAGAGATGTGCCATCGGCAGTAAGAACATTAACATGCGAATCAAGAGGTCGGAGAGAAGACAACGCAGAAGAATCAGAAGACATATGAAAGGAGGCTCCAGAATCCAGAACCCATGAAGATGTACCTGACTATGTAGATGCCTGTGATGACGAGGATGAGGATGCAGTCACAGCAGCAGCAGAGCCAATCGACGAGGAGCCTGAGGAAGCAAGAAGATGCTTGAGGTGAACAATGTCCTGGTCAGTGAGTGATGGAGCCGAGGAAGACACAGGAGGCCCGCTGGAGGAGGAGCGCCTCTGGTCTCGCTTCTTCTGGCGACAATCAGACTCTGGGTGACCTGGCCGAGTGCAGTAACCACAGACGGTGTCACGGAGCGACATGCCCTTCTCAGCATAAGGAGGACGGCTCACCCCCCTGGAGGAGTGGGCAGGAGCGGCGGAGCAGTGAGGCGAGCAGATGACACAGGAGCCCGGGCAGCCAAAACTGACGGAACCAGAAGCAACCCAGCAGAGCAAAGGCGGGTCTCATCGGCACGAAGCTCAGCAAGTATCTCTGAGATAGGAACACGACCCCGAGCAAGCAAGTGAGCACGGCGAGGCTCAAACTCAGAGTGGAGACGAGATAAGAACTCATGGACCCTATGAAACTCCAAGTCAGACCTCGTAGTGTGACAACAACGGCAAATGCCACAAACAACTGTCCACAGTGAGTCAAGCTGACGCCAGATGGCAAAGCACTGGGAATAGAACTCATCCACAGACGAGTCACCCTGCTGAAGGGCATGCTCCTGACGCACCACAGAGAGGTATAAAGCATCACCAGAGGGCTGATAGCGCTGACAAAGATAGGACCACATCGCTGCAACTGTGTTGAGGCCCATGAACTCCGAAGCAAACTGAGGGAGGACACTTGCAGTAAGAACAGCAGCAGCTCGAGCATCATCATTGCACCACTGAGTATAAGCAGACAGATCATCCTGGTAGACAGAAAGAGCATCAGAGTATGCGGATACCTGCTGATCATAGGCATCAACTGCAGCATCATCAAGAGCCTTGGGTGCATCCCGATCAGCCTGGGAAGCATCAACAGCAAGCACCGGCGGTACCGGCGGAACAGGAGCCACCGGAGCAACAGGGCAGGGCGGACAGGGTACCTCGCCAGAGAGAACGCCCCATAGAAGAAGACCGCGCATATGGATGCACATGAAGCCCACAAACTCAGCATAGTTGGTGCCATCGAAGATTACCGAGCACCGAGGAACAGCAACATAGCCCGAAGAGGACATGAGGAAGTCACTCTGATATTGTTGCCTCTTTTTTTTGGTTAACTCCTACTGTAGACCCGATCTGGATCAGGCAGAATAGCTATCGAGCGGGCGAAGGAGGCCCGATCTAGAGAGCGCTCGAGGGCAGAGGCGCCACCCGATCGGGATCAGGAGAAGCGGCAGGGCGCAAGGTAGAGTCGAGGGAGGAGCGGGCGTCTGATCCAGAGTGGATTGAGAGCCAGCCACCAGAGCACACGGGCGAGGCGGGCCGGGTGGATCGGGCCGCACGGACGGGGCGAGCCGTGCGGTGCAGCGGCCGGCCAGGGCGGTCCAGCCGGACGGGGCAGCGGCCAATGGAGGAGGGCCAGACGGGGCTGCTTCGGCAGCTTCCAGGCGGAGCAGCGCCCGGACGGGAGGGAGCCGGAAGGGGCTGCTTTGGCAGAAGGAGCCGGACAGGGGCGTCGGCCTGTAGGAGGAGAAAGAGAGCCGGATCGGAGATGCAGCGGCCAGACGACCGGAGGTGAGCAGGCTAGGATTGAGACGCACGGAGTTGCATCGTGCGGGAGAAAGGGGCTAGCCTAGCATCTGATACCATGTTGGTTAATCAGCAACTGTATTTCCTGAGGGCCAAAGGCCATTACATATACATGTGTGTTAAAGTGCAGAAAACCCCTTATACAATGGGGATATACAGAAAAAGGACTATACACATCTAACAGAAAGTTCCTCCAGTAATTCGACCAACAGCCATTGGAAGACCAAGGTAGCGTTTACCAAAATCTTCCACCGTAATATGCAGCGTTTGCTACAGTAAAAATCTGATAGGATCAGGAGTATTTGGGCTAAAAATATTGCACTTTTTTCTTTATTAACTGCTTGACCAGAACACTCCCATAAATACGAAGAATACCATTCAATCGATAAGCATTCTGCACCTTAGCTTGCATGAAGATCAGACTATCATCAGCAAAATGTAAGTGATTGATCCATGAACATCGATAGCTGACCCGAATGCCTCTGTCGATATAAGCCCCTTCATAGAAATTCAGCAGTGAAGTAAGGCCCTCGGCACAAAGCAAAAACAAATATGATGAAACGGGGTCACCCTGACGGAACCCCCGAGAGGAAGAGAAGAAAGGGAGGAGCTCGCCATTAACTCGAACAACAAAACGCACTGAAGTTACATACTTCATTATGCAGCGAGTGATCTGTAGACTCTGGAATAGCTAGAGTATGTGTATTCCTCTAGCTGATTATATTTACTACTAGATGAAATTGGTTAAGCTCGAGAATTGCAGATTCAGCGTTTGATGTTTGGACGGATATACAGAAATTTAAAGGTGCTGATCGGTCTCGTCTGGATCAAAAGATTGACTGTTTTTTTTTTCTTTATTGATGTGAAAAAGGGGCAGTTTATTGTAAAGTTGCCTGAAACTCGACTAAAAAAAAAGTTGCCTGATCTTAGCCATTTTGTGGGAGTTTATACTAACTGTTGAATCTAAACACCCGCCGCCGGGAAGCAAGACCTGAACACCACCCCCGCCGGCGTACCCGATTGGGCGATTGGCCGCACAAGAGAGAACACGACCTCGCTGAAACACCACCCGCCGCCACTACTCTCCATCCGCTCTAACTCCGGCAACGTCGGCCGACATGGTGAAGCGGTGGCTCCCCCTGGAGGCCAACCCCGACGTCATGAACCAGGTACCCACGCCTCCTCTCCACCTCCGGTAGGGCTTCGCCTCGGCCTCTCCTCTTCCTCGCTCACGGGCCCTCGCGCCATGGTCGGCTGCAGTTCATGTGGGGGCTGGGGGTCCCGGAGGACGTGGGGTTCTGCGACGTGTACGGGCTCGACGACGAGATGCTCGCCATGGTGCCCCAGCCGGTCCTCGCCGTCCTCCTGCTCTACCCGCAGGTGATTCCTGAGTCCTTGCCTAATTGGCCGTGGGATTTTTATTGGGTTGCTTGTACCGGTGGATGGTGGGTGGGAGCTGATTTGTTTCCCACCCGCGTTTCGGTGAGCAGGATCGCAAGAAGGAATCCGATGCTTCGGCCACTTCGACGGCGGAGACCAAGGTGAGACTGATCTGTATGGTTAGTTTGGCAGTAAGGATGCCCAGCACAATTTCCTGACGTAACATCAATCGATTCCCATGAAAACCTGGTAAATTTGGTTCGTTCACCTGCTTCTAGGAATTTTGTGTGAAACATTGTGTTCCTAGAACTGAACTTTGGCGAAATATTGCCATAATACTTCAGCATAATTAATCATAGGACATCAGGGCATTATCATGATATATCTGCGTGATTGCTCACCCAATGACATAAGGGCATTGCCATAATAGTTTAGCAGGAACGGTACCAGCCAGTGGTTAAGGTTCTAGCCGATTCTTCAAACTCTACATGTTATTTCAACAGTAGTTATTTGGCCATTTGCCCATTTTCATGGTGCCCCTAGTTGTTGTCTATTTCCTTGGACACTCCTTTAAACAAGTAAACAAACTGCACCTCAATGGTTAAATTGTTTGAATGCTATCATGCTTGATTTCTACTGCTGACTTATTTTTGCACTGCACACTCGACATATCATACTTGTTTCCCCAAATTCCAACTTGTGTATCAACACAGTATAAGGAATTGTGTCCACAATGGTTAGCAGCTTATTAGGTTTCTATTATTTCTTCCATATGCATAATGTTATAGGTTGTATACATATTGGTTTCGTGGTTCCCAAATAGCTAGAGATACAGTACAATATAATTTGTTAAAGATTGTTAAGGAATCTATGCAAAGTTTCTATATGGTTATTTCTTGATAATACAAAAAAATTCATGATGCAGGAACCCAACAAGAAAGTATATTTTACAAAACAGACTGTTGGCAATGCTTGCGGAACAATTGGTATTATTCATGCAATAGGGAATGCTGTGTCCAAAATCAAGCTAGGTATTTACAGCAGTTTTGAGTTTTAACTTCCTATTGATGCACAGAATATTAATGCCTACACGCATCAAGACAACACTCTATTATGTGAACTTTTATTTGATCTTGCAGTCCAAGCATAGTCATTGTTCATGCAATTCTATTAGTGTGAGGGTAACCACCCAATAATTCACTAAGGTCATTTCCATGATCCTTAAGAACTCCTTCATCCCTTGCCATCTGTTTCTTAAGAGAATAGGTGGTAATGGATAGTCATTTCCTTGACCTGCTATCATATGAATAATGTATTTCCGGCAGGGACGGAGCTGCCTTATAGACATTGGGGTCAGTTGACCCCAATGAAATTTGAAAATCCTTCATTAATTTAGTACTAACCCTAACATTTATAGAACGATGAACCCATTGCCATATGCACGACCCCATCAATTTTTTTTTTCTAGCTTCATCCCTGATTTCCAGAATCCCGACTTCACAATTATATCTAACTCCCAAGAACTTGGATATGCACTCTTCTTTTTTGCTATATATTTGCAATACTAATGCATGCTTTTGGTCACACATAATGACATAAATATGAATTATTCGGACTTGTGGCTTTAATTTACCTAGTTCCAGCTTCCAAGACTACTTCAACAAAATGTTATGTTGAGTCTCTTACCTTTTAATGCCCGCTATTTTTGACTTGTTATGAGATTTGACTAGTATTTTTTTTCTTTGCAGTTGATGGGTCCTATTTCCATAGATTTTATAAACAAACTGCTGATATGGATCCTATCCAGGTTAGTCCATGTACACATACTTCTTGTCTTGTTAAAGACTATTATTATGGATTGACTTCTACTTTGTACTAATTATAAAGTACTTGATGGTGTCAGCGTGCTGCTTTTCTTGAGGAGGACCAAGAAATGGAGGATGCTCATTCTGTTGCTGCTGCTGGTGGTGATACAGAGGTCAGCAGTAAATTTCTTTAATTATGCCTAGCATACGAATATTTGCACCGATGACCAGATAATATTACGTTAATGTTTTGTGAATGGAATGTTTATAATTGTAGTCTGTCAGTCCTGAGAGCCGTGACGTTTTCTAAGAATAAGTTTTGATCCTGTCCGGAATTGTTAGACCTGACTGTTAGCCAGTTTACCTGCTTTTCTGCCTTCATGTTGTTTCTTGTTTGCCAGTTTGAATAGCTTGCGATCTGGGGTGAACGTTGTTGCTCATGTGTCATTTGTGAATGGGTATTGGGCATTGTTCATTAGTTCAGAACTTCCACAAGGAGCATGTTATTATAGAATTGTCAACCACAATAATTTGACTACTCTCATGGAAGATATGTTTATATACTATATCCTCAGTTTGAATGTGATTTAATCTACGATTGCAGCCTGAGATATCTATATTTTATTGTGCAGGCCAAGGATGGGGTAATTGAACATTATGTTTGTTTTTCGTGTGTTGATGGTATGTATTGTACAAGTATCCATCCGTTATCAGAGAGCCATAATTGATTCTTTTTGTCACAAGTCACCGTCCCTTTATCTGTTCACTCTGTTTTTCCTTCCCTTTTCCATCCAGGTGAACTTTACGAGCTTGATGGAGGAAAGCCACAGCCGATACATCACGGCCCTTCCTCTCCTGATAGCTTGTTGCAGGTAAATTGTTCAGCTGTCTGCATCTCTCATTCTGTAAACGGCGTATTGTATGGAAGATAGTGTTGCCTATTTATAACTTCAGCATAAGGGTTTTGGTTGTGACCGTATTACTTAGTAGCTCTTCATTTCACTAAATTATGTCGTAATGCTTAGTCAATTCTTATTTTCATAGTAAGATATTAGTAGCTGCTTAGTCGCTTTCGTGCACAGGCCCATTAAGTAGTCAGGGTGGTCTCACGACTGCACAACCATTTTGCAAAAGAAAAAAATGGAAGCAGTTCAGCCCAACACAAAATCGGCAAAAGATAAAGCCGAGCCTAATTTTTTAGTAAATACGCGCACTCGATTGGAAAAATCCGGTCCGCTATATCACCTCTCATGAAGGAAGATTCAGTGACAAATATGAATGCTTAACACTTGTGATTTTCTGAACCCTATTATTCCTTGGCTGTATGCATTTGCAGGATGCTGCAAGAGTCATAAAAGCGAGGATTGTGGAGTATTCTGAGTCACTCAACTTCAATGTCATGGCTCTCTCGAAGATGTAGTGAATATATGGGTCCAGAGAGAAGGTTTATTGATTCACACACACCACTCTACCTCATCTGCGCCGGCCTCAGTTAAGTCCAACTGTAGGATCATTTCCGTTATGCTGGTGTAACATTGTGAAATGAAATGAAATAATACGGGAACACAAAATGATCAACGCAGACCACATCCTCTTCAAGCTACTCTTAACTTGCCATTCTGCTGCACTGAGGACATACCTTTTTCTTTTTGAAGTTGCTTGTTGATGTTTCCCTTTCGACTAGATGAGCTTCTCATGTGTATTATCGACTGTAAAAAGCGCTTGTAGTAATATTTATGATTACACGTGTTAAGGAAAAGTTCATGTACAGTAGCTTTAAAAAAAAAGGTCTTTCCCCCAGTTCCACCCATTTTATTGAATGAAACCACAGTAAGCAATCTAAGTGATGAAAACAAAATTCATTTAGAAGAGACCATAAGAATCATAAGGCAGCTGTGCAAACATTCTTTTTCTGTTTGGCCCACATTGAAATGATGTCTTGTATAGAATTTGGCATTCCCAGAAGGAAAAACTCACACATTGGAACTAACGTATTTAGCAACACTCATTACAAAATAGACAGGAACCAACACATGATTTTTTGGGGGGATTAATGAAATGATTTAACAGAGCATTTACCACTGCTGTCATTTTGTGAAGCATACATCTAGGAGTGTCAGTAGCAGAGGTAATCACAACAGGCCGAATAAGAGCAACCAGTTCATGCTAGAGCAAAAACGTTCATGTACGGACGCGTTTGGTAGGCTGCATCAAGCCCAACCAGGCTCTGGCGGACTAAGGGTGCGTTTGGATTGCAACCAATAGCAGCCATACCAAAAAAATGGCAGGCCCATGGAAATTGGCTAGTGCTTGGATGACAGCCAAAATTTTGGCTCGCCCGACGATTCCGCCAACGGCCAGTGCAATTCTTGCCAACGCATGGGCGAGTTGGCGCAGAAAAGCTCCGCCAAAACATTGGCAGCGCCCACGCCCGCTCCATCCGTGGGGCCTGCTTAATTATTGCAGCGATTAACTCGCAATTTACCATGAAAGCGATTTGTAGATCCGCATATTTCTCATGTTCCCTGATCGTTTGGGGATTGGGGCTTGCCTGCTCCCCTCATATGCTCCCATCCGTGCTCCCCGCACATCATTTTCTATCCAACGGTTGCGACATATCCTCCTTCTGAAGTTCCTTTCTGCAGGAAAGAAAAGGAAAATAGATCTCGTATTTGCATGTCCACCGTATCTCCTCTTTCCAGCACGTATCTGCTTCTCTTCCTCATTCCCTTCAACATCAGAGACAACACCGGAGTCCGGACGGCGGAGGCAGATGGACGGGCAACCCCATCGTCTCGATCTCCTCCCGTGCGGCCGTGTCGTCGGCTTCTCTTCTCTTCCCGTGGCCGCCCCTTCTCCTTTACCTTTCGTCCCCTGAGTCGCGGCCCTGACTGGGAGGTTGCCTAGCAAGTTGGACATCGGCGTCGTCGGCTTCTCTTCTCTTCCCGTGGCCGCCCCTTCTCCTTTACCTTTCGTCCCCTGAGTCGCGGCCCTGACTGGGAGGTTGCCTAGCAAGTTGGACATCGGCGTCGAGAAACTTCAGTCCGCTGGTTCGTCAGCATCGCCGCGGTGGCGCCACCTACGTCCAGACGCCGGGCCTCTCCCGCCACAAGACCACCTCCTCCGAGAGGAAACCGTCGGACTCCTCGGTGCGCTCGTGCGAGTGCGTACAAGGCGCCGCGTTGCTACTCTACCTCGTCCTCGAGCCCTTGACCATCCCGAGGCGTCGCCATTGTATGATGCCATTTAATTGCTCTACAGACAAGTTGAAAAATCAAGATAGCCCTCAAGTTATATCAGTTGCAATCTCTACCAATATTGTGATTTGTAGTACCTAAAGTGGTAAACAACATATATGAAGTATGAACCAAGCTGCGGTTAGCATTACTTTGCATCAGGAAAATTACTGAACCAAACCCCTTAATGAAATCATTAGGAATTGTATCCCCATGCCGATGGGAAGCCTGTAGGTAGAGAAAATGTAGACTTGCATATCTCAACGGCGCAATAATCAGTGTAAATGGGTGGATTCAGAACTTGCAAGTTGTCCTCAGATTTCAGATGAAAGCTTTTATGAGTACAAATATCGCTAATGCCGTTCCTTTTCTAATGGCAGTGAGATATTGCTGCTATGTCAGTAGGAGAATCAATTCACTCTCTCTATTGATGATTATGTGTTACATACATGGTATTTATACACAGGGCATTTGTAACGCCCCAGATCTAACTTTCCATATTTGTATCCAACTCTTGCCGTCTCCGGCGCTAAGTTATATTTATTTCTCGGGTTGGGTCTTTGTCTTCGTGTGTGTTGTTTTCGTTTTCATGCATCTCATATCAGGTCATCACGTGCATTGCATTTGCATACATGTTCGTCTCATGCATTCGAGCATTTTCCCCGTTGTCCGTTTTGCATTCCGGCGTTTCGTTCTCCTCCGGTGGTCATTTCTACCTTTCTTTCTCGTGTGGGGATTAAACATTTCCGGATTGGTCCGAGACTTGCCAAGCGGCCTTGGTTTACTACCGGTAGACCGCCTGTCAAGTTTCGGGTCATTTGGACTTCGTTTGATACTCCAACGGTTAACCGAGGGACCGAAAAGGCCTCGTGTGTGTTGCAGCCCAACACCCCCCAAATTTGGCCCAAAACCCACCAAACTCTGCTCCATGTCCTAGAGCGTTCGATCACGATCGTGTGGGCGAAAACCGCACCTCATTTGGACTCTCCTAGTTCCCTCTATGCCTATATATACACCCCTCCGTTTTCGGATCTCTCCCTCTCCCCGAAACCCTAAAAAAAACAGATCCCCGTCAGATCCGCGCCGACGGACGTGTCCGCCCCCGGCCGGACAGCGTCCGTGGCCGCAGCCCGCCCACTCGGGGGCCGCCACGTCACCCCCGCCGCCGCCGCCTCCCACCGCGGCCCGGGAGCCCGCATCCGGCCCCCGCGGCCCGGTGAGCTCCGCCGCCGCCCGGGACTCGCCTCCCGCCGGGATCCGCCGCCTCCCCGACCTCCGGCGACCGGCGCCGTCGCCGCCGCCGCACCGGCCGCCGCCGCGCCGCGCGCCCGCGCCTCCGTGGCCGCGCCCTCGCCCGCGGCCGGCCCCGCCGGCCACCTCGCCGCCCCTCGTCGCCCCGGCGACCACCGGATCCGCCCCGGCCGCCTCCTCCCGCGACTCCGGCGGCCAAGTCCGGCCAGCTACAGTGTTCCCCGCCGCCGCCTCGGAGTCCGTGCCCGATCCAGATCTGGATCTGGGATATTTCGGTTGACCTCTCTCCCCCGAAACCCTAATTTTTCGTGCTATCTTTGACTGCCTGTATCTCCGCAACCGTAGCTCCGTTTTGGGTGTATGATATATCAAAATCTTCGTCTCGACATGTACATCATTTCATTCCATTGCATCATTTGCATTTGAGGTCATCTTGATACCCAAAATGCTGTTAGAAGGAGGCTTCGTGAGTTAAATTGCAGATCCGTTAGTTCATCATGCACTTTTGTCATTTTTGCTATATTTAATTCGTGCATGATATGCCTGTGCCACTTTGGGATGTATTGTGAAGCATTTTGTCTTCTTTCCAGAGGTGCCACCCATGCATTTTTAGGATGTGTGTGTTGTCTTGTGCAAGCTTGCGAAGTAGGGTACCTGAGAATGCAGATTTCAGGGACTTAGTGATTTTCACTAAGTCTGGGATATTTTAGTTCACGATGCTATATGTCCAGCTTGTTTCCTAGTGATCCGTGCCTCTTTTGAGGATGATCAGTAAGGGAGTTTTGATATTTATGTTATGCTCTATCCATCCATGTCTTTGTTTGCATTTGTGGAGTGCTCTAGGTTGACTCAATCGAGCTCAACTTTTGCTTCATTGTTAATCCGGGCAGATCGTCAACTTGTTTGCGATTTCGCCGATGCTACCGTTAGCGTTCCATGCATGCTATGCCTTCGTTCTTGCCATGTGTAGCTAGCACTTTGTGCCTTCTTGCTGGTGATATGCTTTCCTTGCCATGACTTGCACCGTAGTGAGTGCATCGAGCTCGTTTACATGCCTTCGTGAGTTAAATTTCAGCATGTCTCAGTTTTCACTAAGTCTAAAAACTGATTGTGTTCGAGCGATGTTCGTGAGCTCGGTAGAGTATTTTGTGAACCCTTTTGGCCCCAGGTCACTTTGGGTGTTTTGTTAAGCTTGTTGAGTAGCTCCATGCCATGTTCTTACTTGTCATGTTTAGGTTTTCTATCATGTTGTTTTGCTGCTCCGAAGAGGGCTTCGTGATCTGAAATTTCAGACTAGTGTTAATTTCACCAAGTCTGAAATCTGTTTTGCATTTGCGTTTTAGCCATGCTTGTTTGAAACTCTTAATGGATGAATTTGCCTATGGCTCAGTGCTAGTGTTTTGTCAACCATCTTGTGTACATCACTGCCATATATTTTTTTTTTCATGTTTGGTGGCTGTAGCATGTTCTTTTCGTTGCATTTAGATGCCTACTTGCTGTAAATCGCAGACCGGTGTCATATCTTAAAACGCTTGCCATTTCCAAACCGTAGCTCCGATTCCTATGATCTTTATATCGTTTTCAAGCGATTTCATCCCCTCTATCCAGTGGCACACTTGGTTTTCCAAGTTGATGCCAGGGTCATGCATTTCCTGTCATATCTTGCATTTTGCATCCCGCATCGCATCCCGCATAGCATATCGTCATTTCATCATATTGCTTGGTCTTGCCCGTGGTTGATTGTATCCTTGTTGCTTGTTTGTCTTGTTGGGTAGAGCCGGGAGACGAGTTTGCTACCGAGGAGCCCGTTGAGTTTGCTTGTGAGGATCCAGTCAACTCTGACAACTGTGCAGGCAAGATGATCATACCCTCGAAATCACTACTATCTTTGCTATGCTAGTTTGCTCGCTCTTTTGCTTGCCACTGCTTCGAT